TTCAGATCAGGATAGTAGGGTTTAGCATATAACATGTTTGACCTGTTATAGGAGTTTCTATTGGTTTAAAAACTTACTTTACTGTTGTTTGTATATTCATAAACTTGAACTAAAAGTGTTTTAGTTTTTGTTAAATAAGATAAAATCATACTTACAGTTGAGAGGTCTATAGATTTTATATCTAGTGCAGAGTCATCATCTTTAATAGAACCTCCAGTCCAGTCAACCATCTCTACTCTAAAGACCTCACCAGTTTTAACCTCAGCCACTGGGGGTACGTCAGGGTGCCAACGGTTGTGAAGAGGTAGTTTTTGCTGCCATGGTTTGTTGTTCAAGTCTATTGGCACAACTAGTCTTGGAGTCTTAGGAGCCATAGATGAAATACTGGAAAAACAAGGAGCATAAGGATGTGTGTTTTATATGCTTGTTAGGCCAAAACAACAGCATCCATTGGAGGAAGAGGAAGAGGAAGAGGAAGGACGTTGGACGTTGGACGTTGACATCAATACAATTGCTGGATGACAAATGGGACTGACATGTATTTCCAAGGGTCCCCCATCCAGCTTTTTCCCAATATAGGACAAATACAATACAACACAACATTTTTGCTTATTTTAATTTGGCTGACAAATCATACCATTACAAGTTGGTTTTTTAGATCCATGGTCCCTCAACTTACACTCGAGTTTCATTTTCGTCCCTCAATTCGCAAAATGGTTGTGGTGGTCCCTCAACTCCACTTCCGTTAGCAACATTAGTCCTACGTTAAATTTTCTGTTAAATTTGAGTCCAAATGGTCATTTCAAGCCCCACACCATTACTCTCACCAGCTCCACCACCCACACCACCATTTTGTACCTAAACAAGTCCGCAACAATCACAACCCGCACGACCTCCTTCATTCTTCCTTCCCTTACCTCACTCAGCCTCAACTCCACCACCAACCACCCCCCTAAAACGACCTCCCGCAGCAGCCCCAATCCTTCAAATTCCCACACGACCCCACTCCCATAAGACCATTCAATTCCTCCACGACTTCTCACCCATATACCTATTACGAATCCAATACAAGGGGAGGTTGGAGAGAGACGGAGGAGGTGGTAGGAGGGGTGGGTATTGGGGGGTTGGATTTTGGTGGCTGCTGTTCTTCCATGTGTATCTTAGAGATTCAACATAAAATTAACAGAGGAAGGGAGGGAGAAGATGACTGATGCGGATGAAAATACAGTTTTGTCCATGAGAAAGAACATGAAAAATACTATTTTGGCCTCAAATTTGACAGAAGGTCTAACGTAGGACTAATGGTGCTAACGGAAGTGGAGTGGGACCACCACAATCATTTTGCAAATTGAGGGATGAGAATGCAACTCGAGTGTAAGTTGAGGGACCATTGGACCTAATTTGTAGACGTGGCAATAGGAATCAGAGTTGTTTGGGTGTGTATATGCAGAATAAAATCCTTTTGCCTTGTTCATTTTCCTGTTCTCATAGATATTACCTGGAAACATGTAGAGTTGCTACTTAAGTGTGTCCCTCAATGGAATTTTTGTTGAAACTCAAACGAAAGGTAAAACATGCAATTGAAAGAAAATCTTGAGTCTTGAACAATGAAGAAATGATTCGTAACTCCTATAGAATCCGTCATGGAAAAACTGATTGTGTTGGACTTGAAATAATTGTTTATGTTTGGTCAAAAGTAGAACTGGATGATACTCTGCTCACACCAACCATTGATATGATTTCTTCTATGCTCTTCCAAACTTTATGCAACAGAAGTGGAAAAGATGCAAAACACACAAATATAAAGGGGAACTTACAATGGAGGGATTGGCATGTTTGATGTCCTCTGCTGTGTATTCTTTGGTAATACCACCTCCACTAAAATCCACCATTTCAACTCGAAAAACATCTCCGACTGTAACTTCTGCCACCGGTGGTATGTCCGGGTGCCATCGGTTGTGAAGTGGAAGCTTCTGTTCCCATGGTTTCTTCTTCACATCTATAGGCACAACCAGTCTTGGTCCATAAGATGCCATAACTATGTCCAAGTTTTGCTGTTTTGATTTTTCTGTGGTGCTGTTTTGATTTTGATGAAGGCAATTAATTGGGAAAGGTAAGGTAAAAAGATGCAAAGATTCCTTGTTGTGGCTGAAGTCGTCAAAATGCAGCTTTCATCTTGAGATGGAGTTTGACAGCCCTGATAGGTACACACCACTTAGTCATACTTTTCTTTTCCTTCAAGTGGGTGGACCACATTGAGCTGATTGAAATTTTGTCAAGTTTCTTTTGTGCTCATGTTATATGAATAGCCATGAGAGATGTAACACCAGAGTTCTAACTGGTGCCATTGCCTGAGAATAAGAACTTTCTTCTCTGGTACACTGTCAAAAGTTTTGGCCACTGATTAAAGAATAATCCCTGTACTGGGAAACTTTATCTTGATCTATGTGGTTAATTTTTAGTGGTCTTTGATTTCATTCCAACATCGTACACCTTGATATTAACACCTAAAAGTTTGAAACTCTACTGCAGCAGATGCCAATCCGATTGGTTTACGGGCCAATTGACTATCACAAATTGGCTTGAAGGGGGAAACATTTCTCGATTAAGGTGCTAATTATCCATCATCATGGTTCTGAGATGGGAAATTGGCTTTAAGCTAACCCAAGTTGCCTTCTTAGAGGGACCCCACAAATTGGAATCTTCAGGATTTTGCTGCATTTTTCTTTTATTTATGATGACTTGAGCTTTTGTTTGTTCTAATAGAGGGAAATTGTCGCTCTCCTTTACTTGATTGCTGGTCCCAACAGCTGTTTGTAATAATTTCATTAGGGTCACCATTAGTACTTCGGATTCCATTTGATTAAATAATTCACAAAATTTAAGGCAGGTTGAAGTAAGAAATGAAGGTAGAGTTTGAGATTTTTCCACTGTGGGGAATAAAAGGGATCAGAATGCATTAGCAAATGTTGATATCTTACTATTTTTCGGAAATTGAAATGGACAAATTTCTTTCAACTTGGACAAAATTTAATATGCCTTTAAATTTAGTGAGTTATTCAAGCCAATTGGAAACTTGGCCTAGGATTATGGTGACCAAACTACTGCGATAGTATTAATGGCATAATTACATTAGACTAAGGAAATCCAATCTCAATTATATCCTAATATTTCACATATTAGTAGGAACTAATAATAAATTGAGTTGGTCGTAATAATACTAACATTATCCCCATAGGAAATAACACTGAGTTTAGGTATGTGTACGGAATTGGACTTTTTGTCAAATGACCTTATCTATGTACTGTAGATGAGGTCATTAATTCACCAAAAACAAAAGCTCCATTTGTTATGTTGTGACTGACGATTAGGACTACAGTCTCTAACTGTGTCCCCACCTACAAAAGCCACTGATCGTTGATTATTGGTTTTGGAGAAAAGCTAAACCCCGCTCTACTCATTACTCATGGGTGATTGTAAGTCGTTGATGAATATAAGTGAAAGATTAGATTGCAAAACTTTATGTCTTAATTATCTGTTTCAAATTAGTTTAGGTATGTGTACGGAATTGGACTTTTTGTCAAATGACCTTATCTATGTACTGTAGATGAGGTCATTAATTCACCAAAAACAAAAGCTCCATTTGTTATGTTGTGACTGACGATTAGGACTACAGTCTCTAACTGTGTCCCCACCTACAAAAGCCACTGATCGTTGATTATTGGTTTTGGAGAAAAGCTAAACCCCGCTCTACTCATGGGTGATTGTAAGTCGTTGATGAATATAAGTAAAAGATTAGATCGCAAAACTTTATGTCTTAATTATCTGTTTCAAATTTATATTATGTATTTGTTTGCTGCTGCAATCATGCATATTGCAAGCAATGCATTTAAAATGGGGGAGGCCATTGTCAGTCTAGATTCTAAAACTTTAAATTGGCGGTTCAAAATGCTCTAGTACGAGGACATCTTGATAGTAATTAAACTTTTATCTAACACCAAAAGTCCAACTTAATTTAGCTGGAATAGATTATTTCCAGAATTATTTAGATATGTATATTTATATCTGAATTATGACAACGTGAGTAAGTTATTGTGAGTCGTTGAGGCACGTGGGTGGAGCATCTCACAAACACTCTTTATCAATTAATACACTAACGACTTATAATCTCTCGCGTGCGTGTGGCAGTAGTTTTGTTGTTTATATTAGCCAAGGTTGAAATTCATCCTGGGAAGAGGATTCCCCCCTCATCTCATGGGTCACGTCTGATTGGAAGACTGTTAAAAGCAGCATCACCTCAAAGTTACGTGTTGTTTTTGCAATGTTGCAGTGGTGCTAGCTGTTTCATAAGTCAGGCTGAAAACGACCCCCAAATCCCATGCCATTGCTATTGCGGAGGAAGTCCCCGAACACCCCATTTTTTTGCAGCCACGAAAATAAAATAAACAACACAGTGATTATTAGTTAATCCAATCAGATCAGATTATGAGAGAAAGAGAAAGAGAAAGATAATATTATTATTATTAGGGCAGGCATTAATTATTAAGCATAGATATAGAGGTACAGAGAGAGCAGAGGCAAATCTGGTTAATTTTATGAGAAGTTTAGTTTCGCTTTGGAAATTGTCGGCACCTGCAAGTTGATTGGGGGGTGACATGCCTCACGCTAGGGATAAGAACGCCACGTCTGTCCGACTAAGCGACACATTTCACCACTTACGTGGCCCCTTATTTTATTTCAAAAATTACTTCACTCCTTGTGATGTGAATCAATAAGAGATTGGTTTGTAGGTAAAGAAAGAAATTAGTTACTTGTCAATTTGTGTAATGCTATACAAATTACTTGTCAATTAAGGATGTCGCATACAAATTATGTCCCCATTTCGCATACATCATTCCATAATTTCACGAGTCTCGTCCTTAAAATGAAGAAATTCTTGCACATTTTTAATGTGTGAGTTCAGTTATTTATGTGTTCCAAATATTTGCTATTTGGCTAATTATATGATAATTTTCCACTCAAAAACACTTGTGTTATAATCCCCCAGGCATTCTTAGTACAAACCGTGAAGGACTAAACTTCAATTGTTCACAAGTCAATGAGATGCTTTCTTTCTTCTCAATATTTTAACAATGGAATTATTGTGTGTCTATATATATATATTGTAGTTTTGATGCCTTTTCGGAGGCGACAAGTACTTATATGCGGCGATGATGATAAGGTTCCACAATAGTAAAATAGACCAAAGTAAATTACATGACAAGCCTTGGGATTATGTTATACTTCTCCACTTTAATAAAACCTCACACATATATATATTTTACAACCAAATAATAATGAAGATCATCATTGCAAATTGAAAATCATTAAGGCATTTAATGGAGACTAATAAAATCAAATGAACACGGTACTTCAAGAAATTACTTTTAACTTCACACATGAATGCTACAATGCGGTTTAGTTAATATCAATTGCAAATTGCGAGAGATGCTCCAAAATGAGATCTCTCGAGATCTTTCCACAATTTGATGATGATTGTGTTTGAAGATCATTGCCAGTTAGTATTTGATTCAAAGGTGGGACACCTAATCTAATCACGCGGACCCCAACATGTAAATCCTTTATTGTGTCTTTTCCTACATGTAAATCTATTATTGCGTCTTCACACACTCCATCCCTCATTCCTCATTCCTCTTTCCTCATGTATATAACACGATAATCTAATCATTATCAACATAAACCAAAGTTTTACAAGTTCATATGCTCTTTGTTTTCTTGCTTATTATTATAGCCTGCTATAAGCTTGATTTCGATCCCACTATACTTTTGAACACAAGTAGCATTAGCATGAGTTATTAGATTAATTGTTGTTACTTTGGATGGTCAAATTCTTTCGTAATATTAAAACAGACGATTCACGTTTTAACTTAACAGCCACACGTACTCTTATGTCAGTTATAATAATTCAAAGCGTGTTGAAAGTGTCGAATGATTCTTTAATTGATTGGTACTTCATTATGTTAATTTGGCTTACATCAAGATTTGAATCTAGAATTTAACTTTTAACCCATCCCACCGAATACCACTTGAGTCAAGACTCATGTGCTTCAATATAATATATATATATATATATATAGAATTGGATAAAATAAGTATCAATGTCCTCTAAAACTATCATAAAGAACCTTGGTGGAAATTACTCCACACTTAATATAAAAATGGTAATTTGGTAATGTTTTGTGATGCATAATTGTGAACCACTACTTTTTTAAGCGTTTATTCAAATGCTTGCTATGAAACCTCAAAAAGAATATCGTGATTTTAAAAATTGCGGAGGAAAGAAAGCTTTCAAAATCTTTAAAGAATCTCAACATGTTACTCCACGTTTGGTAGCATCGCAAAATACAAACAAAATATATAAAGATTTTTTATTTTATTTTTCCCTTCATTAATAAATAAATAAATAATTTTAAAAACAAAAAACGAAACAGAAAGAATAAAGATGAACCCTAATTGGTGACTGCCCCCATACCACCCCCACCCAGGCAATCACTTACATGCTTCATTTTGATTGCACCTCATATTATTCCCACCACCACTTTGGATTTTAAAAACTTCCTCCTCAAAGTCCAAAAACTTCTTCTGCACCGCTTGCGATGCCAATGCTTTGTGCTTTTGTGTGTGTGTTTCCTGATCTTGCACCAAGCAAAGCTCCCTCCCTCAATGATTAATCCCCTTTTTAAATACCATATCCTCTGGACCCTTTCCCACTACCAAATACCATCTATTACCCCCTAATTAACTATTAATTATTAACAATTGCCCTACATGTGCACGCCATACCATACAAATACAATAGACTAATAGAGTCATGGACCAATTCATTTCCAATTTTCCATGGTAATTATAATACTAACACCAACTATTGTTGTTATTTTGTATATGAATAATGAAGAATGAACAAGATCCCTTCTGTTATTTATGCTTTCTTACATATAAGAAAGAAGTCAATTTACTTACTTGTAAATCATAAACGACATATAAAAAAAGTTTATGAATCGTGTCACGGTGTCATTTGTCTCTAAAAATGAACGACTCGTATTAAGAATGGAGGTCATTTGTTTAATCCAATGCAAGAAGCATCTAATCCAATCTACCATGCATTTTATTATTATTTTGATTTGATTTAATTAGTGTGTGACGCAACCACCTTGGCAAGTTGAAGATAGAAAAAAGCAAAGCAAAGGGGCCAAAGGAGGAGCAAAGGGGCAAGGGGCAAAAAATAAGATGAAAAGGAAAGCAGCTAAGCCAAAGCCTTACCCCATCAATATAAATAAATCCACATTCCACTCCCTCTATCTCTAGTCTAGTGTTGTTTCCACAATCAAAAGCAACGAATCCAACGGTGGAGAACATCCTGCGCGGAAACACGGAGCCGCTCTCGCCCAACTCCTTGGAATCTCCTCATCTCTCTCTCTCTCTCTCTCACCACACCCAATTCCCTAGTTAAAACTCTCAACCCACGCACTCTGCTATCTCTCTTTCTTCTCTCTCTTCAAGTCCCTAGTTTTCAATTTATATAACACCCTCCTCAGCCCTCTTTGGCCAGCTTAGCTTAATTTCCTGCTCTCTCTCTCCCCCATCTCTCTACCTTTCTTGGGCGCAAAGAAATCCCACTCCTCCTTCAACCTCAACCTGCTCTCATTCATGTAATTCAATCTCCCACTTCACACTGACTGATATTTCACAAACCAAACCCTCTTCATAAAACCATGAGCTGCAACGGATGCCGAGTTCTCCGAAAGGGCTGCAGCGAATCCTGCATGCTCCGCCCTTGCCTCCAGTGGATCGAAACCCCCGAAGCCCAAGGCCACGCCACCGTCTTCGTCGCCAAGTTCTTCGGCCGCGCCGGCCTCATGTCCTTCATCTCCGCCGTCCCCGATTCTCAGCGCCCCGGTAATTTTTCTTCACCCACCAAAATCTCGTATTTTCCATCTCCACGTCTCTCTTTTCGATTTTTCATTTCTGATTTTCTGTTTTCTTTCAGTTTTGTTCCAGTCTCTGTTGTTTGAAGCCTGCGGCCGTACGGTCAACCCGGTCAACGGCGCCGTGGGGCTGCTCTGGACCGGCAACTGGCACGTGTGCCAGGCTGCGGTCGAGACCGTGCTCCGCGGCGGCACGCTGCGGCCGATACCAGAGCTCCTCGGCTGCGGCTCGACTCCCGACGAAGCCTCCGACGCCGACGGCGGCGTCGTCAACAACTGTACGGACATGTGGAGGCTCCGAGATCCGAGCCACAACTCCGGTTCTTCGTCCCGGTTCACCAGCTCCCGGTCCGCCAAGGCTTCCTCTCCGAAACGCAAGCGATCCGCCGACGACGAGTCGCCCACGAAGGTGCTTCAGCTCCAGCACCATGCGGATCTGGATCTGCGGTTGACTCCGAGCCTGACTTTCAAACCGAAGCCCAAACCCGAGACCCGACGAGC